GTCGTCCGTCGTTCGTCGTCCGTCGTACGTCGTCCGTCGTGTGTTAACATTTGAACATTTTCAGCTTCTTCTCTGAAACCACTGAACCAATTTCAACCAAATTTGGTATACAGCATTTATGGGTGAAGAGAAACAAAAATTTTGAATTTTATGGTCCCCGCCTGGGGCCTGAGGGGTGGGGCCAAAACCACCAAAATTATTGCAATCTTTAAAAATCTTCTTCTTTACTCCTGGACATCAAGCAGTCAAACTGTTGGCATGAATGTAATGAGCATTGAGTCCTCTACCAAAATTGTGAAATTCATGGCCCCAGGGTCGGGGTTTTTGTGCTAGGGCGGGGCCATATAGATTCCCAGGTAGCACAAAACGTTTTCATAACATTATATTCTGGTTGTAAGGACGTTATTATAAAACATTGTTCAGAAAACATTATTAAAACGTTAGCATAACATTTTTCTCCAGTTGTAAGGACGCTATCAAAAAACGTTTTAAGAAAACATTTCTCAAACGTTTTTCCTAACATTGTATAACGGTTGAAAAAACGTTATCAGAAAATGTTCTCAACAAAGCACTTTGACAATGTTTTAATATCATTTTGTCATCGTTTAAATGATGTTATGAAAACATTTCTTTGAAAATGTTAATCTTACTTCCCCTTTCAACCTTTGGGAAAACGTTTTAAAAACGTTATCATAATGTTTCTTAAAAACATTTTATTTAACCTATTTTTATCTTACAGTTTTACATTTAAAAAAAAATAGAATTTCTTTTTAAGAACCTTTTTTGAAAATTGAAAGTATTTTCAGGCAACATTGATAAGTTGTCAGACAACATTGACATAACATTAGAATATAACATTGTTTCAAATGTTTTAAAAACATTTTTAAAACGTTATGGAAATACTATGAAAATTGCTTATAAATGTTTTTCCAAGATGGTTTAAATATTTTGTCAAAATTTATATAAATTTTAACAAAAGTACATCGAAACTTTTGCATGTAGAGATTTTTAAATGGGAGGTGTTGGAGTGGGGTGGGAAGGGGGGAGGTATAGTGACAAGGAGTTCAATGTTTTATTGTGTACCTCACTGAAATATATAAAATTAGATTAACTTTAACAAATGAATAATAAATCAAAAAAAAAAAAAATACATGATGACAATTCAGCATTTTTTTAATGTGAAAAAAGATGCAATTATTTAGTTGTGTAACTTTGTGGGTTAATTTGATCTCCTCCCCAATAAGTTTATCGGGAGTTAATGGAATAACACAGTGGGTGGCCGTGGCTAGGGCCGAGGAAGCCGATCCCAGCTGCATGCAGTTTCCACGTGACTTTATCTCTGTGTAGGTCAATCATTTTGAATTCTTGTGAGACAAAGAAGAGTGTAGCTGAAATATTTCTCTGTGAGTATATTTTTGTACTTAATATACATGATATAGGTTCTTTACTTTTATTATTTGAATAGATCACGGACTTTGATAGATGTACAACACTAATATACTTATGATTGGGGAATTAAGTAGCATGTTATATACCAGAACCATGCATAATCAAGGAAATACTGGTGTTAAGTTTCATTGGTGAGCTTTTGAACAAACTAATGCATTTGAATAAGGCGCGAAGTATGTTTTTAAACACGGACTGCGCTTATTTGGCTGACATTATCTATAAACAATACAAACAAGATTGTGCTTTCTTTTTTATTTCATTTAGCTAGCTACCTTGCAGTTTGTGTCAAACTTTTTTTCAAACTATATATTATAATTGAAACACTGTCTTTTTAAGAGACACTTCATCACTCTTTCTATAAATTTATCAGATTAGTTAACATGTATGCAAAAATTTGAGGAGTTATTTATAATAATAAACATGATAGACATAGACTGCTTTGTGATGAACTTATTATTTATATATTTTTAAATGTATTTTTGAATTTAATGTATTTTATCAGGTTCAAATTCTCAGTAATCTGTCAAAAACTAAAACGACTGAATAGGGTTTTGATTAATTTGTTTGAAAGTCGTATAACATCCGCTGCAGCTTTGACACTTGATAATCTAGCTCTGGCTGAAAGATAATAAAGGCAATGGTTAGTTCAAAATAACTGCACAGCAGGATGGCAAATTAACAGCTTTTCTTTGTTTACCACCCTGCATTATCTTATCAGAACCTTGAGCATGTTGATATAATCTTTTACAACTTTCACAAGTAGATGAAACTGCCTAGATTAGCACGAGAAACCTGCTAATTAGATAGTTTGGCTTTATAAACAGGCACATATCCTTTTTTTTCTTAACAAACATTCCTATCAAATATAAGAAATGCTAATTAAAAAGCTTTCTCAGCTTCCTCCCAAACACAGTCTTCTGCTTGTCCAAATTTTTAAATTGATCGAGTATTTTTATGCCCCTGGTTTAATTATGTGTAGGCTAAATTGTTTTTTTTTATATGCAAGATCAGGGGAAAATTAAAATTAATCTAAAATAGAAATTATAGAATAGAAAAAAGGTACTAAAAATTATTCAACAAATAAATTATATGGTATATAATAATTAGAAATGTGATTTATACAGCTGATTATTAGCTGATTTAATATCTATTTTTTAAGTAAAAATTTTACACTTCATTTAAGTAACTGACACATTAAAAAATTTTACTTTAGAGACCAAATATGGACCCTGACAAAAAACACAATAAAAGACGCCTATATAACAAGAAATGGATATCTGAAAAGCGTAGAAAACTACGCTTACAAAATCAAGGGGAACGGTCCTTTGAAACCGATTCCGGATCATTACCCCGATGCTCAAATACTAGTTTTATCCAAAATACTAGTTCATCTGAAGGCATGCATGATGCACCTGCACCAAACTATCAGCCAGCTTGTGACATTGCACCATTTGATGATGATAACAATGACAGAATAGATCTAAATTTCGCCGCATATATTTCATCTTCTGATGAGGAATCCGATTTCAGTGATGGTCAAAGTGCAGTGGTAGATACACTTAGAGAATGGGTTAATTTGAACGAAGTTAACGCAAGTACAGTAGATGATCTGCTTAAAAGATTGAGAAAAACTGTAACTCCAAACATTCCAGCTTCTTCGCGCACACTTCTGAGAACACCAAGGCACGTTGACTTACAAAAAATATCAGACATGGAATATTTCCACTTTGGGCTTGAATTAATGATTTTTAATACATTAAAGAAATATGCTCAAACGGACATTGAGGCGCTTAATAATGAATTAATCCTATCTCTAAATATTGATGGATTACCTTTGTTTAAAAGCAGCAAAACAACCGTGTGGCCTGTATTAGGACTCATTTGCAATTTAAAACCTGCAAAAGCGTTCCCTATAACATTGACTGTTGGTACTTCAAAACCATCGAACTTAGAGTTCTTGAATGAAACTATTATTGACCTAAATAATTTAATAACGAATGGAATAAACATCAATGAAGAACATTTTGAAATTAAAATCCTGTGTATAATTTGTGATGCACCAGCAAAAGCATTTGTCAAGTGTGTCAAACAATATTCTGGGTATTTCGGATGTGACAAATGTGAGCAGCGTGGGCAGTATATTGGACGGATGACCTACCCGGTCATAGATAATCTTGTTTACAGAACAAATGCATCATTTAGGAACCAAACACAAGAAGAGCATCATAAACAAGATGTCCGATCTCCATTTCTAGACCTACCAATAGATATGATTCAAGGTTTTCCAGTGGATTACATGCATCAAGTGTGTCTTGGTGTAATGAAAAAGCTTTTGTTAACTTGGATGCGGGGTCCAAGAGCGAATAATCGATTGTCTAGTGGCCAAATTTCTCAGATTAGCACTAAACTTGTGTCATTGGCACATTATATACCCCGAGAATTTGCCAGAAAACCAAGAAGTCTTGAGGAAGTTGATAGATGGAAAGCAACCGAATTCCGTCAGTTCCTTCTATATACAGGGCAATTTGCTTTAAAAGGCGTGTTACCACATAATTTGTACAGAAATTTTATGTGTCTTTGCGTAGCGATAACAATTCTTTTAAATGAAGATCTTGTTTCGAATTACTCAGATTATGCGCATCGCCTACTGTGTAACTTTGTACGAAATTGTCGCAGGTTGTATGGAGAGGAATTTTGCGTGTATAATGTACACAGTCTCTTGCATTTACAAACAGAAGCTGATGCATTTGGATCATTAGAGAACTGCGCTTCATGGCCCTTTGAAAATTATATGCAGCAGTTGAAGAGAAAAGTTCGAGGTGGGAATAATCCAGCAGCTCAATTAGTTAAAAGAATATTTGAGTCCATGGAAACTGATGTCATCCCAGATCAGAAGAAGGTGACAAACATTATGTATAAAAGACCAAACAATGTATACAGAACAGATAGGAAGAAATATTGCGAAGTAATCCGGCCTGTTAATAGAGAGAAAAAAGCTTTTCTCTGTCGAGTCTACTATTCGTCAGAATGTTCCTTCACTTATCCATGTGATTCTTACATCATTGGTCATGCACAATTCTCTCACCGAGATTACACCATAAAAACAATTGAAGCAGATAAGCTAATAACAAGATGTCTGAAAATACCCTCTCACCATGACAATAAATTTGTGTTTATTCCACTGCAACACAACTTTCAAGTATAGGTTGCCACCAATAAAACAAGAGCTATCCCGATGGTGCAGTTTAAAACATGGTATGCATATTAAAACATTGGAACTTAAGATTAAATTTTTTGAATTAAAATTGAAGATAGAATAAAACTAAATGCCCCATCTAATATATCTGCATGAATGAAATGTCATAGCTGTATGTTAACATTTAACACTTACTCACTCAAAATCACAATTACTACTACTAGCACTGAAAGAAAATATCTTGCATTTCGAAACAAACTAACATATAAATGCTAATTACTAACAAAAATTAATCCAAGATAAATACCAGAATGATTCATATATTTCTCTACTTAAACTTTCAGCAAATAATTATTTAGAATATTTTTTTTTAATTTCAGATTGCCCACGAATCATGTTTGCAGTTGTACATTTTGTGGATGATGAAAGTGTAGAATGCGTCCCAAAGTCATGGCTGGAAGGGGTAGGTAAAAAACAAACAACTTTGAAACATTGATTTTTTTTTCATTTAACAGTTATTAAAAGATATTTTCTATTACCGGAATGTTGCTCTTAATTGTGTTAAACATGTTTAAATTAGCTGAACAATTTTTCAATAATCGTATTAATTTTTAAATGATATTCAGATTTATCCAATGTTGACATATTTTAAAATGGCCTTTCTTTTTATTATTTGAAGCAATACTGCTATTGGCCAAATTCAAATGCCAAAAGAAAAATTAAAAAAATGTCATTGCCTGACAAGGAAAGCTGGAAAAAATTCAAATTTAGAAAAATTGGACAAGGTAAGGATTTTAATTGCATTCTTAAATATGAGATTTAAAAAAAAAAGGAAATTGTAATACACAAGATGACAAGCGCAAGATAACAATGTATGTTATACATGTATTATAGTTGTTTTTAAATCATTTATAACAGATTATGAGGACTATGAAACTGCCAGGAAAAACCTAAAAAAAGCAGAGGAAACATCAAATTTAGAAAGTGAGGAGGACTCCAGGAAAAGAAAGCTACCGGCAAGGTTAATAAGCGAGTCAGAAAGTGGGACGGATATTGAGAGTGATGAAGAAGGTAATTATCAATATTTGATCTAGGTCCATAAGATGTATTTTATTTATTATTATAAACTTAAACTACTTTGGGATACACAGCTTTAAAAAATATTGGTCTCTGTTTTCTTAACAGAGGTAAAAGAAAGCCATCCCCCAAAAAGTCAAGAGTTCCACAGAGGGAGGATCACAAAAAACACAGAACACCTGTGAAAAAAGCATCAGTAATCTCACCGCCACCATCTTTGCCAGTTAGGAAACACACCCTAATCACGGCTTCAGTAAGGAGGCAGTTGCTGGATGCTAGCATTCGTAAATCCCCAAGATCAAAACCAGGGGTCCCAAGCTTCATCCCTGAGAAATCACCAAGAAGAGACACCATTATTTCACAAGTTTCTTCAGTTGTAGGTGCTAAACCATCATCGTCTAGAAGTAGTTCATCAATTTCTCAACCCAAACCTGGTATGTAATCAAATTATTTTAAGAATAGATAATTTTATTTTGCTTATCTTTCTTTTTATTTAATCTGAACCTTTTCTATCAGGTTCTAGTGATGTTGGAACATCTTCAACAAAGAATGTAGGAGGGAACATTTCCGAGTTACTCCATCAAGGTATGTAATAAGGTACTGATCATGCGCTTAAGATTGAGCTTATTGTTATAAAAAAAATCTTTGACAACCTCATACAAAAATGAGGGGGGGGGGGGTGCAAGGAAGGGGTAGGTTCCAACCTTTTATGCAAAATATTTTATTTTATTTTTAATTACATAACGATGAACATTGTAAGGATATATTTATAATGTCTATAATATCTACCAACAGTTTCACTATCACAAACTTCTGATGCTGTATCGTACCTCCCGAGAGTATGACAACTTAATTTTAACTATACTACCCTTACCTGTAAGATTTATTCTATTCTATTAAATTAGCTACATCAACATGTCTGAGAAACCATATTGCGCAATATTATATATATATATACATGTATATATTACTTTGCAAACATTTTTAGCAGATAAAAACAGGCAACACATCTCTTTCTAAATTTCAGTCATTTCCAAGATAGATATTCTGCAGCAGGACATAGCTGCAATTAAGACCCATTTAATATCGTCAGTGGATGTTGATATTGACACTATTGAAAGCTTACTTCCATCGGGAAGTAAGCTTGATTCTGTTCCTGAAGTTGAAGATTTTCAAGAAAGCTTGGATGAAAATTCCAAGAGGAAACTGGTAAGGAATATGCTTTTCTATACAGCTTATCATGATATATTGATTAAAGCAATTGATGATAAGTAAATTATAATGTATGTCTGTTATATTATTAATCATGCAAAGACTGCATGGGTTTGCAAAGAAGCATACTTGTAGATACATGCTTAAAATTATATGTAAAAATTCATTTGTTTTAGATAAATGCCATGGCAGCTTTGCAAGGGGGAGATAATGCAGGGGAGATATGCAGAGCAATAATGAGGTCCATAATGACAAACAAATGCATGAGCCAGTTTAGTGGAACTGGGCAAAAGGGAAAAACCGCCTTTATCGGCACACCCCTTTTCAAAATCATTCTTTGTAAGTTTAAAACTTGCACAATGTAACTTAAGTTTTAACATTTAACGTTTAAACTTTACTTAGTTTAACATAAATACAAACAAAACAATGTTACAAGATTTGGGTCATATTTCGAACTTTATTTATAATAATACAAATAATTAACTAATTTTTGCCCATACAATTCATCTTTTCATTTATAGTATGTGTTTCTTACACGGATATAATTTTACATTTTATTAGCTGCTGCTCGCAAAGCTTCCAAGAAAACAATCGCATTCGACGCAATCAAAAGAGAGGTGTTAGATGTGCTGAGATTTGCACCTTACCTTCCCGGAGGAAGCAACTATGCCAAGGTGTGTTAGAGATTTATATCTAGAAATACATAGTATACAGAACATATTTCGATAAACCTGAAACATTGCCTTACAGAATTATCAAAAACATACCGGTATACCTCCTTGCATGCATTTTAAAAAAAATTGTGTACATTGTTTGTATAAATGAAAGAAAAATCATTATAAATACAGTTGTCAGATGCCAAATGATTAATTATTACGAAGAAAAATATATAGATAAGAGAGTATGTTATTTAAGATTGTGTATTTATTTTTCAGAAGAAAGGAAAGAAGTCAAAGAGCCCACGGTTGGACGAGTTCCCTTCAGACTCTGAATGAGGAGGAAATGTTTCATTCGTCTATTAATGCAAACTTTGACTTCTGTACATTAAAAGACCTTTTGAAACATTTTATTAATTTTTCAAAACTAAGTTTTAATGATTGTTTTGACAATTTTTACAAATATGAGAAATTTCTTGCAGAGCATTGTAAAGTTAAATAATAACCGGGTAAACTATTAGCATTAAATAAGATTGTCTATATTACATTATATATAAAGTTAATTTTTAATGTAGAAAAGAATAAAAATGTTTTTAAAATGTTTGCAAAATGTTTTTATTTAAATGCTTACGAAATGTTTTTATGAATGTTTTAAAAACGTTTTTTGCAAACGTTTACAAAACATTGCTGAACAATGTTTTTAAAAAATGTTATGATGACGTTAAAAAAACCATACAAAATAACGTTGTAATAACGTTTTAGAAAATGTTTTCCTAACATTTTCACAACGTTTTAATAACGTTTTAATAACGTTGGTGTGCTACCTGGGTTATATAGTGAAAATGCATTATTTCTTTGAAAATCTTCTTCTCTGCTCTTGGGTATTAAGTAAACCAACTAAGTACATAGTTATGTTGAACAAGAGTGCCTCTACCAAAATTGTGAATTTTATGGCCCCAGGGTCAGAGGTTCTGGTGTTAGGGCGGGGCTCTATTGATCATATAGTGAAAATGCATTTATTCTTTGAAAATCTTCTCTGCTATTGGATATTAAGTAAACTTACTAAACACGTAGTTATGTTGAGCAAGAGTGCCTCTACCAAAATTGTGAATTTTATGGCCCCAGGGTCAGGGGTTCTGGCGTTAGGGCGGGGCTCTATTGATCATATAGTGAAAATGCATTTATTCTTTGAAAATCTTTTCTCTGCTTCTGGGTATTAAATGAACTAATAAACACATAGTTATGTTGCGCAAGAGTGCCTCTTCCAGAATTTTGAATTCTATGGCCCCAGGGTCAGGGGTTCTTGTGTTAGGGCGGGGCTCTATTGATCATATAGTGAAAATGCTTTCATTCTTTGAAAATTTTCTTCTCTGTTTCTGGGTATTAAATAAACTAATTAAGTTTATAGTTATGTTAAGAAAGAGTGCTTCTTCCAAAATTGTGAATTTTAGTGCCCCAGGATCAGGGTTCTGGTATTAGGGTGGGGCTCTAATGATTATATAGTGAAAATGCATTATGCATTTTTTTATTTGTTTATGCCAATGATCCAAGTATATATATTTATGATGAAGAAAAGTGCATCTAGCAAATTGGTTATTTTTTATGTCCTCTGGTCGGGGAGGGGGGGGGGGGTCATAGTCTGAAAATAAATTAATGTTTTGAAATCTGCTCTTTAGTTTTAATCAACCATTTTATGATAAAATATGCAAAATTTTGAAATATATGGCCCCTGGGTGAGTGGTTCCTTTGTAGTGAGGTGCAAAACTGGTTGTAAAGTGGAAGTGCATTTTCTCTCTTGGTTACTCTGATATACATCTGGGTATTAAGTAAATAGAGTAAGCATGCTAAGTTTATAATTATGATAAGCATTGGTGCCTCTTTCAAAATTGTGAATTGCAAATTTCATGGCCTCTGGTTTAAAACACGAACCAATTTCAATTGTTTGAAATTTGTTGCACGATACTGAGGAGGCCTATAAGGCCCGTGGGCCTCTTGTTTAAATTTACTTTTTCCATTTTAAAAAAAATCGTTAAATGCACTGGAGTACATATCAACCGGCTGTGTGTCGAGGTGCTATTTATTCCATGGCAACGGAGTGGGGGGGGGGGGGGGTGTGACGAAATATACATCAGGATTGACGTCTATGGCACGCCAAATTCACAAAAATGAGCTAAAATGTGCTTTATTTTGCCATCGAATATGATTGTTTTTGTGTTAAGTATAGTTAACGGTTGTGAAGTATAGAAACATAGATTACCGCGTTAACTATGATTTACAAATGTAAAATAAAGATTAATATTGTTAACTATAGTTAACAGTCCGTGAACTTTAGTTTACAACCGATAAAGTTAGTTTATCGACAGTCACTGTGAAACTATAATTAGCTCATTTTTGTGAATATGGCGGGCTAAACATAGTTTCACAATTGATAAACTAGGTTTATAGACTGTAAACTGTAAACTATAGTTTACAAGACCTAAACTATAGTTTTCGATTCGTTAAGTATAGTTTTCATCTGTTAATATTTTACGGTTGTTCACTATAGTATACGAATGCTTATCTAAGTTTATCTGTCTGTAATAAAGCGTTTACATTAGATTTTGTTGATAAACATAGATTCACGTCTGTAAACTATAATTATTGTTAAGAGTTGTAAACCATAGTTTACAAATCGTGAAACTGTATTTATCAGATAATCTTTGTTTTGTCAATAAATATGATTGTTTTTGGTGTTCAGTATAGTTTACGGTTGTGAAACATAAATTATGGCGTTAACTATGGTTTACAAATATAAAATATAGATTAACTATGTTAACTATAGTAAACAGTCCGTAAAGAAAAGTTTACAACCGATAAAGTTAGTTTATCGACTGTGAAACTATGATCAGCTCATTTTTGTAAATATGGAGTGTTAAACTTAGTTTCACAATTGATAAACTAGGTTGATCGACTGTAAAATATAGTTTACAAACCGTGAACTATAGTTTACAATTCGTTAAGTATAGGTTTCATCTGTAAAACTACGCGGTTGTTAACTATAGTATACGAATGATTATCTAAGTGTACCTGTCTGATAAAAAACATTAACAATAGATTTTGTTGATAAATATAGATTCACGTCTGTAAACTATAATTTACGATCTTTAACTATAGTTATGAGTTGCAATCTATAATTTACAATTGTGAAACTGTATCTATCGGATAATCTATGTTTTGCAATCACAAAAGATTGTTTTTGGTGTTAAGTATAGTTTACGGTTGTGAAACATAAATTATCGCGTTAATTATGATATACAGATATAATTTAATTTCACTTGTATCAAGCTATTTCATTGGCTGAATCATTCAGAGGAACATATAATATTTTGGATAACATAACTTGCCTACGTCACAATGAGTTACGTCAAAAACGTATTACTCCACTTGACGTTACTTTTAAAAAAATGCTCAATCTGAAGCCTTATTCTGGAGGAAAAATTGTCTTATTGTCTATACTTAACTTAAATTATAAGGAATAAAGCTAATTTCAACTTATGTTATACGATATAACAAAACTTGGGGCAGTTTACGCTTTTTTATAAACCGCTTCGCGGTTTATAAAGCGTAAACTGCCCCAAGTTATGTTATATCGGATAACATAAGTTGAAATTAGCTTCATTCCTTAAGTAAAATATAGATTAACGTTGTTAACTATAGTTTGCAGTTCGTAAACTACAGTTTACAACCGATAAATACTATGGCACGCCAAATTCACAAAAATGAGATAATCATAGTTTCACAATTGATAAACTAGGTTTAACGGTTGTAAACTATAGTTTACGAACTGTAAACTATAGTTAACAACGTTAATCTATATTTCACATCCATAGTTAACGCGATAATCTATGTTTCATAACCGTAAACTATACTTACCACCGAAAACAATCATTTGCGATTGCAAAACATAGATTTTCTGATAAATACAGTTTCACGATTTGTAAACTGTAGTTTACAAACCGTTAACTATAGTTAACGATCTGATAAATATAGTTTCACGATTTGTGAAACTATGATTAACAACTCTTAACTACAGTTATCGATCGTAAATTATAGTTTACAAACGTGAATCTATGTTTATCAACAAAATCTATTGTTAACGTTTCATTAAAGACAGATAAACTTAGATTATCATTCATAAACTATAGTTAACAACCGTTAAATATAGTTTTACAGATGAAAACTATACTTAACGAATTGTAAACTATAGTTAACGAATCGTTAACTATAGTTTACGGTTTGTAAACTATAGTTTACAGTCGATAAACCTAGTTTATCAATTGTGAAACTAGGTTTATCTCATTTTTGTGAATTTGGCGTGCCATAGATAAACCTAGTTTATCGACTGTGAAACTATGTTTTGCTCATTTTTGTGAATTGTGCGTGCCATAGACGTCGAATGCTGCCTCTATACCGAGCGAAGTGATGCTCCGCTTAATTTGCGGTACCCTTGTTCTTTTTTTTTAATGAAAAAACCCTGATATTTTGACTCATAAAATTCCAATTATTTTACAAAAAATTCCCTGTTGTTTATATAATTGTCCAGATCAGATTCGTTTTTAAAACTTGTGTACATTTTCTAATTTCATCATGAGTTGAGCGAGGGGAAAGAAACATGAGCAAACGTATATAAAAATATTTTTAAATGATGGCAAGACCAATGTTAATGCTATTTTTAAAAAAAATACATTTTTTTCCAATAACATGCAACAAAGATCGAGGTAAACCTCCATAGAAGCTGTCATTTAATACCTCAACTGGGGTGCCTGGTTCCCCGTGGATTTCCTATTTTTAATTTCTATTGTTTGTCAGATCAATATTGATTTAATTTTTAATTTCTATTTTTTTATCTATTATATTTATATCCAAGCGTATATTTAAAAAAAAAAAAAAGATTGCCAGATCCATGTTGATTTAATTTATCTTAAATATTTACTTGTCTTCATATCTGAAGGCAATGTTAATTTAACTAATCTTATTTATTTATTTGTCTTCATATCTGATTAACTATCGTTTCTCTATATATTTTTAAAATTTATTATTAAATCTATTACATGTATTTCACAAAAACAAAGGGGCGTTCACATTTAACGTCGGGATCGATATTTTGATTTGTTTATACGGAGAACGCCACATGCAGCGGTTCATACGAATCAAACACATTTTACTGATTTAACAGGTAATATATGATTACTAGAATGTAACAAAGTATTTAAAAAGATTATTCTGTTTCAATGATGTTCTATGTTTGATAGCTGGGATAAGCTGAATATTTTTCAACTCGCATATTCTTATATTTCATTCTGCAAGATTTACGGGAAGGTATAAATGCCCTGATAGTATACTTACTTATCGTTACTTATCGTTGGTTTCCAATTCAGGCTCCCTAAGGATCCTCTTCATTGGACTCCCTATATCCTACTTCAGTTTTAGTATTACTCGCTACGTGACTTCCGGATATTGTAGCCTTGTAGTCATAAAAAATGTCTTGATTTTCCCAGTGTTTATCCAAACGTTGCTTGAAAGAATTAGTAGTCTTCGCACTTATAACATCCTCTGGTAGACTGTTCCAGATCTTAGCAGCTCTCAGGGTGAAGTTATATTTTCTGATATCTAATCTGGCTCTCTGGATTAATAGTTGCTTGGAATTCCCCCTTGCAGTTTCTCTCCCTACATGATCTCTCCTAAATTTCACAAAATTGGCTGCTTTTGTGTCATATTTTCCACTCGTAATTTTATATATCTCTATCATATCTCCTCTGTGTCTTCTATAGCTGAGTGTTGGTAGTTTGAGTTTCTTCAGTCTCTCAGAATAGGTAAGATCTGACATTCCAGGTATCTGCTTTGTTGCCCTTCTTTGCACTCCCTCCACCATCTCAATATATTTAGTTTTGTATGGGAACCAGACTGAGCTTGCATAGTCCAAGTGTGTTCGAACCAGAGATTTATAGAGCGGAATGAATGTATTTTCATCTAAATGTTGAAATATCCTTCTAATCATGGCAAATGTCGAGTTGGCTTTCTTTACTTTCTCGCATATGTGTTTCTCAAAGGTTAAATTTTCGTCGATGATTACTCCTATGTCCTTTTCTTCCTGAACACGCTCTAAAGATTCTCCTAATAACTTGTATGTCACCTCTTGTGAAGACTTTTTTCCTATATGCATATATTTACACTTTTCAGGATGGAATTTCAACAACCAAGTGTTGCTCCACTGAGCGAGTTTTTCAAGATCTCTTTGCAGTGTTTCCTGGTCTCCATTTTCTTTCACAATTTTAAAAATCTTTGTATCATCTGCGAAAAGGTATACCATTGACTCGACGATCTCTGGTAGGTCGTTTATGAATATTACAAACAATATCGGTCCTAAGACGGAGCCTTGTGGGATGCCAGATGTTACATCATGCCACTCGGAACTTCTCCCATTCACTGTAACCTGTTGTTTTCTATCCCTTAGGTAGTCTTGGATCCACTGAATATTTTCAAGTCCTATTCCATATGCTTTCAGCTTGCTGATAAGACGTCTATGAGGAACTGTATCAAATGCTTTCTGATAGTCCATATATATACAATCTATGGTGTGTCCCTGATCTAATGCCTCCGTCCATTCATCTAAGACTCTGAGTAATTGTAGTGCGGTTGACCTCCCTCCCATGAAACCATACTGCCTTGTTGTAAATAGGTCATTCCTTGTGAAGTGTTCAGTGATCTGATCCCGCATTACCTTTTCCATTGTTTTACACACGACTGATGTGAGGCTCACAGGTCTATAATTTCCTGCTAAGGACTTGTTCCCTTTCTTGTAAATAGCACTTATTCTGGCTTTTTTCCACTCCATTGGAACCCTTCTTTCCTCCAATGATCTATTGAATATCATAGTTAGTGGTACCGACAGTTCCTCATGTAGTTCCTTCAAAAACCTTGGATGAAAATTGTCTAATCCTGGAGATTTGTCCACCTTAAGTTCTCTGAGTATTTTCTTAACAGTTTCTTCCTTTATGTAACGTTGTTCCCATTGAATTTGGATGTTTCTGGCTTTAAGTTGTGGTACTTCGCCATCTGGTTCTTTAGTAAAAACACTACTAAAAAAATCCGCTAAAATGTTAGCTTTTGTTTCATCATCATCCGTTTTTTCTGATTTTGGATCTCTAGGGTTGGTGCATAAATCTGCAATCCCTTGTCTGCTTTTACTCTTTGAGTTGATATACTGCCATATTCTCTTAGGATTACTCTTTGCTTCCTTTGCTAGATTTTTCTCGTATTTCTTCCTAGCCTTCCTTACTAGTTTCCCTGCTTTGTTTCGAGTACGATTGTAGTTTCTTCTAACATCTGGATCTTTGTGTACCAGGTACTTGCGTGCCAAGGCATTCTTCTCTTTAATGACATTTAGAGTTTCTTTATCCAAGGGAATTTGCTGGTTTTTCTTCCTTCCAATTTCATAAGTAGGTACATACTTATTCTCTAGATCCTCCATCTTTCCACGAAATTTTGTCCATATTTCATCTATGTTTTCAGAGCCATTCTCCAAAATATGCCTCCAATTTATCTGCTTAATTTCACCCTTTAGTCCTACATAGTCAGCTTTGCTATAACTTTTTCTCTTCTTCTTTGTTTTCTTGACATCCACTCTGCACACATAGCTGAATATGATGACACAGTGGTCACTTTTTCCAAGAGGACTTTGTAGTTCCATATCTACTACTGTGTCCGGGTCCTTGGTTAATATCAGGTCTAGCACATTTGGTGTATTAGTTCCCCTCCATCTCGTTGGTTTATTTACCATTTGGAATAAAAAGTTATCCTGTAAGCACTCAAGGAACTTCTGCTCTTCTGAATGAATGTTTGATGATGTCATCATCTCCCAATTAATTCCGGGGTAGTTAAAATCTCCCATCAGTAAATGGTGGGTAAAGTTTAGCTTTGATACTTCACTGATCAAGTTCCTTAAAGTTCTACCGGTTTCTTCCGAACTATCTGATGGTGATCTGTATATCACTCCAATAAGCATGGTCTCATTTCTACTAGTACGCAATTTCACGAACAGATGCTCACAAAATCTGCTATCAACTTTTATTTCCTCCGCCTTGAGTGATTCATGCACATAGAGTATAATTCCTCTACCAATATCCCCTTCTAGGTTTGTGTGGAACATATTGTATTCCTGTGACCATTCCATGTTGAATTCGGAGGGATTTAGTAGATAAGAAGCATTCTTCGCCTTTACTTCGGTAATCCCTATTACCATCGGTTTTACATCTCGGATTCTGATTTGAAATTCATTGAATTTGTTTCTGAACTGATCGGCGTTTGTATAAAAGCAAGTTAGTCTATTCACAAACTTAAAACTATTTACACTATCTTCACTGTTCTTCTTTATATCTACTCTCCTTCTACCCGAACTTTTACCACTCTGCGCGCCCAGGGTGGTCCTCGTACTCGGAAGGTGAATTCCCCCGAATGTGTCCCTTGTAGTTCTTTAGCCCTTTCATACAGTTTCTTCTCATTTTCCCTTTCAGCTCTTGTCAAGTCATTTGCAATTCTCACATTGGCAAACTCCAAGTGATCCTTCAAGAATTTCGCACCTTTAAAAAGTTCCACCTTCTTTTTTGTTGTTGTAAGGGTAACAAGCATTGGGCGACTTGCCTTATCCTTTTTGAATTTCCCTAAACGTACCACTTTACTAACGTCGGAATTGTCAATATTTGTTTTGCATCCCTTTCCTATAGCCTGCAACTTCTCGTAGTCAAAGTTCCGTCGTGTCTCACTAGATTCTGACTCACACTCCTCAATTCCATATACCACCATGTTATTTTCCCGACTTTTCCTCTCATTTATTTCCTGCAGGACTGCTGTAACATTTTCTTTGGGCTGTACCTCATCATTATTCGATGTGATTTCAGAATTTCCAGACACTACTTTATTATCTAGTTCATCCTTGACGATTGCACGGACATCATTTTCACTGCATTTGTTTTGCACTTCCTTTTCTAGTTTATCAATCCTTGACTCAAATATTTTCATTATTTCATTGCACCTATCCTCTATCTCTCTATCCACCACAATGTTCTTTTCGACTTTTTCTCTGCATGTACCACAAAACCACATAACATCACTTTTTGACATAATGTTATATTCCTCAACTGATTTTTTCAGACATTTTATGCAGAAATGATTGGTACATCGTTGACACTCAAGGAGTATAATACCCTGAGTGACCTGATAACATATATATAGTAATATACTAAAATATATAGTTTTTAGTTGCATGTTATTTTTATTAAAAACTTTTAATTTTATCAAATTCTATTAGAATCATAAAGAACATGCCAAAAAAAATGTTAGCCTGGTATCTCATGGATTCGTGGTACTTACCGATTCGTAATTAAATAAAATCGATTAAAAAACTTTCAGCTTAATTTTATTGTGATTTAATAATAATGGGGTCTTATATTTTCTTAGTTAAAAAAATGGTGTAATTTCATCACTTATATGTGTCAAAATTCACCTTAAAATGTGTGGTGTTTACACCACTGTAGAAAAATCAAGCGTCTCATTAATTCGTGGTACGTCATCAAAATCCGAGTTATTGGTATGGTGCGCTATTTCAGGCACAAATACGCAATAAAAAGATAAAAAAATATTGACAGAAATCGGTGTTTTATTTCATAAATTATTTAGTTGATTGCAAATACCTTTTTATAATTTTCTAAAGATAATTGCAGGAAAAAAAAAATTCATAACCCGCGTCTCAAAACATGTTTTGAAAAAATTTTTGATTTATAATTAGTATTTTAATATTTGAATTAATATTCATAAAGTTAGAATTGGAATTATAATATGGAATTTATTTGTATTTTAATTCCTGATGCAAAAAGAGAGAAAAATAATCTAATTTGAAGGATGCATATCTTATAGTATTACAGCACTTGTTATTTGGCTGCTGGTTATGATGAATAAAAAAAAAAACACTGAGTTTTAACTTTCCATATTTTATTCAATGCCCAGTAATATCACTTGATATAAACAGTCAATCATGCAGACGACATATGGAAATTCATTTGAAATCAATTACCTACTTTTTCGTACCCGTTTAGCTATTTTTAGGAAAACAGGTATGTCATCCAAAAGCGTATAAAATGAATGTAAGCGTAATTTGAATATTTTTTGCATTACGTACCGAAGTTTTTCATCATTTTAGTTGAATTATGCCCCTTTGCTTATATCAGGAACTCTACTTCCGATTTCTCAAAATAATTTTCTGGAATACTGCCTTACGATTGTACAATAATGGAAAAAGAAAATATCACGAATCAATGGGTACCACGAATTGATGAGAAATGACCATAAGTTTTATTTGATAGATAGATTGAATTGAAATGGGTATTATGTCCTGATTTTGAGGTATATGACCTGATGAACTGATAGTATGAAAACCTATGGTAAATGCATTCTTGTCTTAAATTGTAATAAATTGTAATAATTTATTTATGGCCAAATTAAAACAAATGGGTAAAGCTCTAATGAAATGACATTGATTTCCGGTCTAGACATACATTTTCGGGAAGTTTCTGGCATGCTGGTCCCCAGAATCACGCGATTGCGCATGAGCAATTATTTCCCTTGCCGTTGCTAAACAGAATGTAAACAAACCGCAATTTCCCACTCGATCGAGTGATTAGGGTTAGGTTATATAGTTTTTAAAATTGTGGTTGTTTAATAAATCCACTCTGTAATCTTTCTGACTTTGGGCTGATTTATGTAATTTTTGCTTACAAAAGGCACTATGAGTGCCTTTTGTGACCAAAAACTTGCATGAATCAGCCTGTCGAATCGTGCCTATATATAACACTTTGGTTTAGTTGAAACATGAAATCATACCTGTTAACTCTACCGATTTAGGCGGGAGTCTACCGCTTTTTTAATCCATCTCATACCTACCGATTTTATTCCTAAATCTACTGCTTTCCTACAAAAGTTTTGTCTTCAGTATTTTAGGTCCGCTTGGGTATCCATTTTTGAAGCCACTCGTCATGAAATCTCATAAGATATCGCGTGATTTATCCCGGAATCATACAAACGCTTTTTTTGTACCGATTTGTACTTATATTTCAAGCACGTGTGTGACAACGACAACAGCACAAAATCAGTGATTACATTGGTTACGATAAATTTCGTTGACATTACTGCAATGAAAAAGGAGAGACAGTATTTTAGAATTGGATGAAAATGTTTGACATTGTCTATAAAAGCACAGGAGCTCGAAATTTTATCAATAAAGTCAATAGAAATCTTTCATTGAAATTTTGCTTTATAAAGGAAAGTTTAAGAGATGAAAGTCCGGGTAAATCAACTCTATTGTAGAAACATGACGATTTTCAGCACTGAGTTTAGGCAAGTTATTGTAAAAGCAACTTACCGTTAACTGCAGCTCGATATCCTGACCTCCCAATCATGTCCGAATATTCAGAATATTTTTCCTTTCAAATCGATAATGATGCACAATTCAATCCATCGATGACTAGTAATTAGCTAACATTTGTTAAATCCCTGTATTTCTCACAAAAATCACCCAATTTTAATAGCATTGCACTTTGAGTCCTATCAGGCATTTCTTCATTACGTCAAGACACAAGTGATGCATCTCATGAATATTTATGAGATTACGTCAAAAATTGATCATGTGGCTACATTCCTAAACAATGCAAGATGGAGATTTACTTCCTAAACAAGTACGTTATATTACAAAATCTTTAAATTCTCTTTTAAAAAACTTTGTTTAAAAACCAGTTTTTTTTTTAAACCCAATTTTTCACAAGGAACATGAATTTGGGGTCAAATTTGCAATTTGTGGTTTTTTTTTCGATTTTGTCAATCCCGTGAGCGATGGTCTCTATATTGTACACCGCCTTCAGTGGCACCTATTTTAGGGCCATATTTATGGGGACCGGTATACTAGAAGTGTTCCACATTTTCTTCTTTTCTGTTACAGATTTGGCGCCTTGACCATGTTGTCTACCCCTGGAAAGAATGTGAATTATTCCTTTATTCTTTTACAGAACCTCGAGAGCAATAATTGAATAATCAGACCATGTCAGAGTTTGAGACATCTATATCCAGCACCAGAGATCCAGAATCAGATCAGAGAGATCCGGGATCAGATCCGGGAGAAGAATCTACTGGTATATATTATATACATGTACATGTGTATACATATAAATAGCAAAGTTTTCAGGGAAATATATTGCATTTAGTATATAAATACTGCATGTAGTTGAGTGTAACAATGAAAATTTTCATCCCCAAAACACTATTGTCAACCCAGGTGTAGCCTAGGTTTTCCATGGTTTTCGAGAGGAAATTTTCAATGTTACACTCAACTACATGCAATATTTATTGTATTATATTGAATGTTCAAATATATATTACAGTGAACTGTGCGTGCATAAATTCTGCGCAGTCGCTATATTTTGGAATACCACCCGTCATCAAGCAATGTTGACTGTTGGTACTTTTGAGTGTGTGGCTTCATTATTCAGCGGGTACTAGTGTTTTTTAACAAATGTTTCTCAAACAATCAGATTCAACTAATTTACATGAAAGTATATCATATATAAATAGCAAACATTTTAATTGCAAATAATATATACATATTGCATTTAGTTGAGTGAAACATTGAACATTTTCATCGCAAGAGTACCATTGTCAACCGCGGTGTTGACATTGGGTCTCCATTGGGTGACAATTTTCAATGTTACACTCAACAATAGGCAATATTTATTATATTATTTTAGAATGCTTTATATAAAAATACATTTTAAAGTGAACCTTGCACATATAAATTCTGTGCAGTCATCATTTTTCAGAATATCACACGTCATCAAGTAATGTTGACTGTTGCTATGCTGGAGGGCGTGGCTTCATTATTCAAAGGAAGGCTCAAGTGAGCTTTTTTGATATAAATTTGTCAGTTGTCTGTCATGGTTGTTGTTGTTATCATAAACTTTACATATTTTCGTCTTCTTCTCAAGAACCAAACTTGCCATAAAGTATCATTAGGTGAAGGGGATTCAACTATAATCAAATGAAGGGCAACTTTGTCTTTGTCGCCTGTGTTGTACAATTGTTAGAGGGCCTGATTAGAGTCGCGAATTAATAAGCCTGTCCTTACATCGCGGGTTCAAATCCCACTGGGGGGAGTGGAGACCGGTCTTTTGGATGACACCGTATAAACCAAGGCTCCGTGTCACAGTAGGTGCTGGCACGATAAAGATCCCTACTCAATGGCCCTGAGTGCCAAGTGTAGGACAAAATTTGAAGCTCCCCATCGGCAAGTGTCTCCATATGAGTGAAAAATTCTTGAGAGGGACGTTTAGCAATATACAATCAATCAATCAACTTTGTCTTCTAAAGGGAGATAATTATGAATAAGTGAAAAATAAATGGCATCTTTAAAATATCTTGTTCTCAAGAACCACTCGGCCAGGAAAGATGAAACTCATGTGGAAGATCCTCAGGTACTTCTTTTTTCAAATAATGATCCTCTGGGGTAGGTTGGGGACATGATGGGGGGGTCAAAGTTTAACATTGGAATACACAGGGAATTCTTTAAAATTCTTCTCAAGAACAGGAAAGCCATGATTGGTCATAGTAATATGGAAGCATCGTTAAGTGGTGAATATTCAAGTTTGTTCAAACCCTCAGGGTTAGGGTGGGGACATGATGGGGATCAAAGTTAAACATAGAAATTCCGAAAATATAGGGAAAATCTTTAAAATTCTTCTCAAGAACAGCAAAGCCATGATTGGTCATAGTAATATGGAAGCATCCTTGCGTAGTGTACATGTAGATTCAAGTTTGATCACCCCCCCTCCCACCCCGGGGTAAGGTGGGGCCATGATGGGGGTCAAAGTTTAACATAGGAATACATAGGGAAAATTTAAAAATTCTTCTTCTCTAGAACAGCAAAGCCATGTTTGGTCATAATTATATGGAAGCATCCTTTTGTGGTGTAGATTCAAGTTTGTTCAAACCCCAGTGGGTAGAGTTGGGCAAGAATCGGGTATCAAAGTTTAACAGAAGAATTCTTAGGAAAAATCTTTAAAAATCCTCTTCTCAAGAACAGCAAACCTGTGATTGTTTAATTTATAAGGAAGCATCCTGGGTAGTCTAGATTCCAAGTCTTTTCAAATCATGACCAATCAAGAAAACAGAAGAGCCAAATAAGTGGATCATATAGAGTTATACAAAGGAATATAAAGGTTATATTAATTAAATTTTTCATCTTATTAACAGCAAAGCTATTACATTAAAACTCGGTTACTGGGACATTAAACAAAGTCACTGGGACCTATGAAATTACGCTATATCCGTAATTCATTATATCCGTATAAGAACTTCTAAGAAATTTATATAGCTGGGGACGCAAGATAACTTCGCTATATCCATAAATTCGCAATATCAGTGTTCATACTAACTGAGTTTTACTGTATGTATCATATTTATTCAAAAGTATCAATAAGAAGTATTGATTGAAGTTTGTTCAAAAACTCATCCCCCCTCTTCTTTTGAACCTTTCTTTTCTATTTAAACTTCTCAATACTGAACTGATTTTTGCTTTGAGTTTTAAATAGCCAGTTGCTCAGGTGAGCAATGTGGCCACTGGACCTCTTCTTTAACAAATTTTCTTGACACATCAGATTCAACCAATTTACATGAATTGAAAGGATAGGAAGCACTGTTAAGGCTTCCTATAAAGAAATCAATGGAATATACACATGCAAAAAACGTCAACAACAGGTCTACATCTTGTGGTATCCAATGACAAAAAAAACTTTTCTGGGTATTTTAAGGGTCATAAGGTAGGGGAGTGCAATAGGCCCCATTCTCAATGATTAAAAAGTAGGTGTTTCCCCAATTTTATAAAAGAAAATTCCCAAAAGAGAATTCTCATGTCTATTTTGTGAGTAAATATATAAATATATATGATACGTATAAATATATATGATACGTTTATCTTAGTGGCCTAAATTACTCCATTTATTCATCTGCTGTACTTCATCTGTCATGTCTGCATTTTTGTAATACATGTATAATAAGGAATTGATAAGATTTCTTTACATAACTTTTTTTGATTGTAGAAGAGAAGTTGACCTTTGACATGTCTGACCCTGAGGAAGAAGGTCATCAACAAAAAGTAACAGTGAAGGTAAGTCAAGATTTTTGTGACAATGTAATGTACCAGTTGTAACCTCAATGCCAAGGCCACCTTTAACATGTTTAAAAACTTGTTTGGTTGCGGTTGCTCTTTTCCTACCTACTTACTTAAAATTGTTTGACTCAAAAATGTTTAACTTCCAAAAGGCAATACTTTTTAGCTCACCTGAGCTGAAGGCGGAAGCACATTAGAATCTACTACTCCACACAAAGATTGCCCATGACCTAAGGGTGTGTCATGACCTTGACCAAAGGTCATTTCTGAGAGGTTCAAGGTCACTGGAAGAAAAAATTTCCTATTCGAGTCCGGTCAATATCTTTCTTATGGATAAACTTGGTAGGGTCTCATTTCACACTAAGATTGCTCATGACCTAAGGGTGTGTCATGACCTTGACCCAAGGGCATTTGGGTAAGTTCAAAGACACTGGAAGAAAAATTTCATAATTTGTGTCTTGTCCATATCTTTCTTATGGACAACTTGGTCAGTTCCTATTTCACACAAAGATTGCTCATGACCTATGGGAGTGTCATGACTTTGAACCAAGGTCATTTGGGGAAGTTCAAGGTCACTGGAAGAAAAATTTTATAATTCGTGTTCTGTCCATATCTTTCTTATGGATAAACTTGGTACAGTAAAACTTGTTTAGTACAAACACAAAATAGCGAATTCACGGATATAGCGAAGTTTTTCTGCGTCCCTGGCAAAATTCCTAACAAATCTGTAAAATTTTACGGTTATAACGAACTCTGATATAACGAATTTACGGATATAGTGAACTGATTTTGAGTCCTGTTGAGGTTAAATATAATGAGATTTACATCTTTTATAACGAACTTTCCAAGATTATAAAAAAAATTGATAAATTGAACTGACTTTATTTCCTTTTAGCATTTGTATATAAAATCTAATTCATGATAAAAACCTTAATTATAGAAGATATGTTTCATAACATTTGCTTCCCTTACATATTTGGTAGTAATACTGTAAACCAACTTTTAATCGCGACGACTTTATTTCGCGATTTACCGAAAGTAAACTAGTTTGCGACGATTTATTTTCGCGATCAAGCTTTTATGGAACTGTTTTTAATAGAAAAAAGAGACTTTAAGGACCAGTTCGCGGTGAGAAATATTCGCGATGACGAGGTTCTCGCGAACTTCGCGAAAATTTCTCGCACGCGAATAAAAGTTGGTTTACAGTAACTGAAGGAAATCATGCATATTGCGAATATGCTGTAATGGTTATACTAATTCGTTTAACGGATATAACAAATTACTGATAAAGCGATTTAAATTCACAGGTCCCCAGGACTTTGCTATAACCGAGTTTTACTGTAGGTTCCTATGTAACTCAAAGATTGCTCATGACCTTTGGGAGTGTCATGACTTTAAACCAAGGTCATTTTGGGAAGTTCATGGTCACTGGAAGAAAAATTTCATAATTCATGTCTGGTCCATATCTTTCTCATGGATAAATTTGGTAGGTTCCTATTTAACACAAAAATTGCTCATGACCTACGAGGGTGTCGTGATCTTGACCCAAGGTCATTTGGGGAAGTTCAAGGTCACTGGAAGAAAAAATTCATAATTTGTATCTGGTACATATCTGTCTTATGGATAAACTTGGTAGGTTCCTTTTTAACACAAAGATTGCTTATGATCTAAGGGAGTGTCATAATCTCAACCCAAGGTCATTTGGGGAAGTTCAAGGTCACTGGAAGAAAAAGTTCATTATTCGTGTCTGATCCATATCTTTCTTATGAATGAACTTGGAATGTTCCTATTTCACAAAAGGATTGCTAATGACATAAGGATGTGTCATGACCTTGACCCAAGGTCATCTGGGGAAGTTGTAGGTAACTGGAAGAAATAATTAATAATTCGTGTCTGGTCCATATCTTTCTGATGAATAAACGTGATTGGTTTCTTTTTAACACAAAGATTGCTCATGACCTAAAAGAAGTGTCATAATCTTGACCCAAAGTCATTTTGGGAAGTTCAAGGTCACTTGAAGAAAAAATTCATTATTCGTGTCCAGTCCATATCTTATTTATGGATAAACTTGGAATGTTCCTATTTCACACAAAGATTGTTCATCATCTAAGGGTGTGTCATGACCTTGACCCAAAGTCATTTGGAGAAGATCAAGGTCAATGGAAGAAAAATGTCATAATTCGCCTTTGTTTCGTTTATGAAAAATATAATGAGCAATAACATTTGCACTAAAAATGTTTTAGCATTTCTCAATTCTCTTAGTAGCTGCAATAATGCAGCCCTCTCCGAATTTTTTTATTATGTTTTCTGGAGAGGGATACAATACGCAAGTTTCGAGATTATCTCCCTTGATGTGCTCTTTCGTTGGGGAGGGGAGTTTCGTTGCCGCGTAAACAAACAGGTGGGATAAATATTTGATATTTATATATTTGATACATGGTATTGTTGATAAACTGGTTTATCATAACTACGTGATTGTCAGGATGCACTGTGGCAACGCACTTTGAAAAAATTACTCACTTTGAAAAACTTTTTTCAAAGTGCGTTAAAATTGGGACAAAATGAACGCACTTTTAAAAAATTTTCCAAAGTGGGTTATGAGTTTACATCAATATATTTTATCATTCTGGATTCATATTTTAGTAATGGAAATATTTTATTTGTAATATATCTTTCAAAACACATACATCTCAACATTGTACGTAGGCGATCTAAATGACACATTGATTCTTTTCCTTATTATAACTTCAAAAAACCCACAAACTTTTTAGCTCACCTGAGCCAAAGGCTCAAGTGAGCTTTTCTGATCACAATTTGTCCGTTGTCTGTCGTTGTTGTCGTCGTCGTCGTTGTAAACTTTTCACATTTTCAACTTCTTCTCAAGAACCACTAGGCCAATTTCAACCAAACTTGGCACAAAGTATCCTTAGGCCAAGGGGATTCAAGTTTGTTCAAATGAAGGGCCACGCCTTATTCAAGGGGAGATAATTAAGAAATTATAAAAATTTGATGGTATGTTTTAAAAATCTTCTTCTCAAGAACCACTGTGCCAGGAAAGATGAAACTTATAGGGAAGCATCCTCAGGTAGTGTAAATTCAAGTTTGTTCAAATCATGACCCCTGGGGGTAGGGCGGGGCCAAAATGGCCGATCAAAGATTTACATAGAAATACATAGGAAAAATATTTAAAAATCTTCTTCTCAAGAACCACTGTGCCAGGAAAGATGAAACTTATAGGGAAGCATCCTCAGGTAGTGTAAATTCAAGTTTGTTCAAATCATGACCCCTGGGGGTAGGGCGGGGCCAAAATGGCCGATCAAAGATTTACATAGAAATACATAGGAAAAATCTCTAAAAATCTTCTTCTCAAGAACCACTGTGCCAGGAAAGATGAAACTTATAGGGAAGCATCCTCAGGTAGTGTAAATTCAAGTTTGTTCAAATCATGACCCCGGGGGGTAGGGCGGGGCCAAAATGGCCGATCAAAGAAATACACAGGAAAATTCTTGAAAAATCTTCTTCTCAAGAACCACTGTGCCAGGAAAGATGAAACTTATAGGGAAGCATCCTCAGGTAGTGTAAATTCAAGTTTGTTCAAATCTTGACCCCTGGGGGTAGGGCGGGGCCAAAATGGCCGATCAAAGATTTACATAGAAATACATAGGAAAAATCTCTAAAAATCTTCTTCTCAAGAACCACTGTGCCAGGAAAGATGAAACTTATAGGGAAGCATCCTCAGTTAGTGTAAATTCAAGTTTGTTCAAAGCATGACCCCTGGGGGTAGGGCGGGGCCAAAATGGCCGATCAAAAAATACATAGTAAAAATTCTTGAAAAATCTTCTTCTCAAGAACCACTGTGCCAGGAAAGATGAAACTTATAGGGAAGCATCCTCAGGTAGTGTAAATTCAAGTTTGTTCAAATCATGACCCCTGGGGGTAGGGCGGGGCCAAAATGGCCGATCAAAGAAATACATAGGAAAATTCTTGAAAAATCTTCTTCTCAAGAACCACTGTGCCAGGAAAGATGAAACTTATAGGGAAGCATCCTCAGGTAGTGTAAATTCAAGTTTGTTCAAATCATGACCCCTGGGGGTAGGGCGGGGCCAAAATGGCCGATCAAAGATTTACATAGAAATACATAGGAAAAATCTCTAAAAATCTTCTTCTCAAGAACCACTGTGCCAGGAAAGATGAAACTTATAGGGAAGCATCCTCAGGTAGTGTAAATTCAAGTTTGTTCAAATCATGACCCCTGGGGGTAGGGCGGGGCCAAAATGGCCGATCAAAGAAATACATAGGAAAATTCTTGAAAAATCTTCTTCTCAAGAACCACTGTGCCAGGAAAGATGAAACTTATAGGGAAGCATCCTCAGGTAGTGTAAATTCAAGTTTGTTCAAATCATGACCCCCGGGGGAAGGGCGGGGCCAAAATGGCCGATCAAAGAAATGCACAGGAAAATTCTTGAAAAATCTTCTTCTCAAGAACCACTGTGCCAGGAAAGATGAAACTTATAGGGAAGCATCCTCAGGTAGTGTAAATTCAAGTTTGTTCAAATCTTGACCCCTGGGGGTAGGGCGGGGCCAAAATGGCCGATCAAAGATTTACATAGAAATACATAGGAAAAATCTCTGAAAATCTTCTTCTCAAGAACCACTGTGCCAGGAAAGATGAAACTTATAGGGAAGCATCCTCAGTTAGTGTAAATTCAAGTTTGTTCAAATCATGACCCCTGGGGGTAGGGCGGGGCCAAAATGGCCGATCAAAAAATACATAGTAAAAATTCTTTAAAAATCTTCTTCTCAAGAACCACTGTGCCAGGAAAGATGAAACTTATAGGGAAGCATCCTCAGGTAGTGTAAATTCAAGTTTGTTCAAATCATGACCCCTGGGGGTAGGGCGGGGCCAAAATGGCCGATCAAAGAAATACATAGGAAAATTCTTGAAAAATCTTCTTCTCAAGAACCACTGTGCCAGGAAAGATGAAACTTATAGGGAAGC